GTATTCTGATTACGCTTAAAAGGCTTGCGCATGCGCAGCCGAACTTTTCCGCGTTCCCCTGTAGTTGTGCTGCACTCCCTCATGTCAGTGATAGTCTCAACCACTGCAGCGACCGTCTCTGTGAGTAAACACAGCGCGTTTCCTTTATTTTATTTTTTCTTATCTGTGAGCCTCGCAAATGTCGAAGCCTCCTCCCAAGCCGGCCAAGCCAGGTCAAGACTGACGCTTATGAAGGGTTTTTAAAAGTTTAAATTTAACCCAAAAACTTCAGCTCTGTCTCTCTCGCGAGGACAGCACACCTTGTGGCGGGTGCTCTCACATCGCTGATTTCTGCCTTTTATCCTGTGAAAAACGTTCATCAGCAAGTGGAAAGAAAGCTCATAAAATCTCGATTAATAACAACATCTGTTATTAACGAGCGGACCCAGATGCAAGTGCGGTTGGTAAAAGTGCCTCCGTGCCTTTCACTGCTGATTGACAGGGGGAATCCAGTCTTCAGCAAGCAGGCCTCTGTGACTTCCCCATTTCCCATCACTCATGCAAGGGGGGAGTACTGTCATCCAGTGGCGGTAGTCGTAGGTTAAGAGCTAATGATGAGTCTAATTTCCTGGCAAAGCTTCAGTCTGTGCTGGATATTTTAAGTATACTGCCTAACCAGAAGAAAGGGGAAATGTGTCTATTACTCACAGATAACATCTTTACTGCACGTCAAGTTCCTTGTGGCATGCGATGGTTTTTCTAAAAATGTGAGTAGATAACATGTTACCCCTCTCCTGTAGATTGGGTCTGTGCAAGCAGGTGTTTCACCCTGGTGAGAAAGCAACAACAAAAAACGTATATTATATAAATATATTTTAAAGTAGTAAAAACACTTGTCTCAGTTTATAAGGTCATGCAGTGTGCAAAATACACACATACAAATCTTTCATCTCCCTCCAAGGACTTGCAAACCCTGCAGGAATGCTTCCTTAAAATGTTTTAAAAGTGCATTTTGTCCTCGTAGCGTAGTCGTATTTTTCTCTAATGTAATTAAACAGAGATTTTTAAGGACTCGCCGTTCTATTTCTACAGTTTGGGAAGTCCCTGGGGAAGTATTTTATTAGGTTTATTAGTACACTTTTTAAAACTTAATGCCACTCTAATACAACAACCCGGCAATTTAATTCCAAACTTTAAGAAGGATATTAGTGTTGTTTGTGTTTGAAACTGTTTTACAGCTGGCGTTAATTCGACTTTATTGTGATCCGCCAAATCTTTAAAAAAAACAGATGCATTCTTCATCGTTTGCTTGTGGCCCAGTGTCGATAGTACAATTATCCGCTTGTTGTCAGAATTAGGACATATTTTGGTCCTCCGCCTCATTGGAATAAAAATGAAAGGGGGTGAGTGACAAATTTAATCCCACAGGGCTTAATGTGGGGTCCTTGATGGATGAGGGGTCCATTCAAATCGGTAAGATACATGAATGAAAAAGGAGATAGGAAGCTGGTTGCTGAGCAGTGAGGAGGACAGATTATCGCATGTTTCTCTGGAAGAAAAGCTTTGATGGGGATTGTTGTTCCAATTTTGATGCCAGGGAGGAAGGATGAGTGATGCCTGTTTGGGGTTTTTTGTCAGATTAAGTTATGCATCGGTGTAAGATATGAACACTCGTTGGCAGTGACGTATGGTCTTGAACAAAAACTATGCTAACTCCGATCCTCAGAGAGCATAAGATCATTGGCATTTTACAACATGGTTTGCTCTCAAGTTCAAGTTGGGATATTTTGCTCTTTTTTTTTGCTGGCTGTGATATATCTCATATACAGCATTGTTTCAGCACGGATTCATGGGCCAATGGATATGTTCAAAAACTGTAGCGGCATCCCTAATGATCATGAAGGGATGAACCTGGACTCCGAGGCCGTGACTCAGCATTTGTAGGATCTTAACGGATTAGTGCGACGTTGGCAGAAATAGTCGCGAGCACTGGACAAGAGTTGTGTAGGATTGGTTGCCTCATCTTGCTGTCTTTATACAAAAGATGGGGACGCTTGCTGTCCAGTGCTTCACTGTAAAGACATATAGACAACACGTAATCACTATCACAGTGCCAAGTACAAAACATACCACTCAAAGAAAATGCAAAACAACACGAAGTGAGTGAAAACAAGTGATCACAACTATAAATGCAATTAACATAAAACATAGAAGAAAAGCAAGACCAGCACACACCATGTAAACCGCCGCGAGCATGTTCGTACATTCACCGACTAGTCGCCCTTTATCTTTTCCAGACAGGTAGACTCCTGATACTAGTGTGTATTCGAAGACCGCGCGTTGAGGCCACAGCGCTCATTTTATGCACAATTCATTCTTGGCAGCTGCGAGCGGTCGAGCGTTGATCTGACTTCATGTGCAACATCCACACACAGAACTATTAAGGTGTATATATGTGCGGCAGTAACTATATATAGACTAAATGCTACCAGTACATATATATATACCTTACTATATACTCCCATCAGTCACAAGAGTCAGTCACCGTTCGCCTGCGCTAGAACAAAACTCGCATCTATGGCCGGTCATCTCCATATCATTCAGCGACCTTCATGGCTGTATTCATGAGTCGCTCCATGACAACGTCCACCCTGCGCCATCCCGACATACCCAGGCTGACATCTCTGCGTCCTTGCAGACGGCCTTGGTCTCTGGCCGTGGCGAGCCGTCCGCTCTTACTGGCACGAGTCGTGCCTCAGTATCATCACGAGCTGATCTATGCACGTAACCTTCCAACGTGGTAGACACACACCACACACACACACACACACAACACACACCACACACACAGCACACCACACCACCACACACACACACACACACACGTGTGAGAATGAAAGTCAAGAACATCCCAGAACTCAATTAAAGACTCAACATCGCTTGTTTTATGGTTTTGGTCCATCTAAAGTAATTTTGAATGAATCTGTTCCTGCTCCAGGACTGCTGGTCCCTAACTGTCCCTCTGATGGACGTTTTGATACAGAATTTCTAGGCAAATATAATTTTTTTTAGTGGGTGCTTGAAGAGATGTTTAACATTACACACATGCTGTGATAACTTTTTTTTTTTTTAAATGGTGCATGGGCACGTAGACCCTGAGCAACCTACTCATATTAAACAGGACCAGGCCTGTGAGGTTTTTTTCCTTTACAAGAGGAATATGTTTAATCAAGACTTAAGAAGGCAACACTAGCGAGCAGTGTGTTTTCTCTAGTTTAAAACATTATTTTCTGCACTAATGACTTCTGGTGTCATATTGTGGGAGACTTGGATGGTTTTTTGGTTGGGCTTTGAAGAGGAATGGGAAAGTGAGCAGGAGCAAGACCAGAACTGTCTGATTTGCTTTTGCAATTAAAAATAACACAGCTGGAAATCATCACAAACCCACAAACAAATAAAATATACTGACAATGTTTTGCCCACACTGAGCTTCAGACTTTAGCTAGAATAAATCTTTTTACGTGCCTGAGGTTTTAAAACGCAGAGAGAACATGGACTAGTCAGCACAGGCTTTTGTGTGTTTTAAGCGACATGACCGGGCCTGCAGAGTAGACATGCTTTACCTGAACAGAGTTGCACTTGTGCAGCAGCTCAGCCCCGCTCATTCTGAGACACTGAGACAGTGTGTTAGCTAAATAGAAACCCTGAATAACGGCAGAGGGGAGTTTCTAAAACCGTCTAACATTTAGGCCTGTTAGCTAAAACTAAAGGACGTCCAGAACAAATTACCAGTAAATATACCAGTGTGACATAAACACATCATGAGTCAACATGAGTTGTTGTCTATTTATTGTTTAACAGGAGAAATACACATAAACGTTACACAAAAGTAACAGTAAAAGTGAAAATATCAGATAATACAAGCACTATTTTTTTTATATATATGTTTATTCAATTTTCCTACAAGCACGATTTAAATCATGTTTGTTTTATAAAGTGACAGCATGTAGGTAAAGCAGCTTTTACTCCCTGGTTAGACGTTCAATCAAACAAACCGGTGAAAACCTGTTATGTAACATTGGTGAAACGTGTTGTAAAGTTTGTAATGTTTTAAAGCATGTTACTGACATATTCAATACGGGCATGTACAACAAGACAAATCCTTGGAATGGAAGTCAGTAGAGTGAAGCAATGTTTTATCTACAAAGAATTACGTCACATTTGCAGTATTGCTGAAGGAGGTTGGAGTCTGGTTAATTAAAAACAAAAGCTGGTTTATGTATGTAGTAAATATACAGCACATACTGTACATTATTTCAGGGATTCTTTAGTCCCAGAAATCAATAGTTGGTAGTAATATTAAATATGTAAATGCGTCCCTGTTTCTTTCAGGTCTTTTTGTGGGTCTCTGTGAACTTGTTCAGCTGTCAGCTAAGGCCACAACCACTCTGGTAGCATTCCAGCAGCAGAGCTAACGCCAGGCTCGACAGCGAGGGGGCAGTTACCTCAGGGCTGCACACACAAAGACCAGCTATGCGTTTTTTGTCCCTGCACTGCACGTACAAATGTGTATTGTTGTTGGCTGTAGCAGAGTTGTTTAAGTGAATGCAGGCAGTGAAAAGCAGACACCAGGAGCTGTGTGTCCTAACTCGTAGCAGTTATATATTTAGTTTGAAACAGGTTGCATTGCTCAGACAGGAATACAAGCAATTGGCTCTTAAGGTGATAGATGATGTTACTGATTTATTGCTCTTATATGAGAGTAATTTACCACATTAAAGCCACATTCTGCACTGACATGCATGCTCATAGTAGTGATTACACTATCCTGCAGTGCTGTGAAGTGGCAGCATGTGTGGTTTCACTTCCCTGTTTCTGTGTGTACTCTCAGGTACAATGTGCTCTGTTCACCACTCTTTTTCATACAGGGACGAGATTAACTTTCCACAAAAAACCTACAAATACTCATCTAACATGCAGCCTGTGTGTTTTCTCTTTCCTAGGCCAAGTCAAAGTGTTCAGAGCATTGTTCAACTTTGACCCCAGAACGGTATGAGCTTTTTGTTGGTTAAGATAGATTGTTTTTCTAATATTTGATGATTCTTGAAGACCATTTTTTGAGTCCTTTAAAAAAAATAATTTTGGTAATCTGTGTGTTTGGTATACCTCTTCCATGGATTTCAATGTATGAAACAACTGTGGACTCTCATATGCAAGCATTTCAATTAATTTTGGGCAATATACCAGATGAACCGGTATACCAGTTTTATCCTGGATATCTCAGATATAGCTTATCTTCTTTTATCTTTTTTCTTTTTATCTTCGTTGCAGTTTGCACAATAACAATTGTTTACATTCTGACACCATATAGTAATCAAAGCCTTAACTATGTACACAATGACATAAAAAGGTTATTATATTGTATATACTCATACTCATAGTCGTGCAAAATTAAATAAATACTGTGATATGCCATGAAACCGCCAGAATACTGTTACAAATTTATACTCATGTCAATTTTATTTGTAGACTTCAAGGCACAAAATGCTAAATCTACAGGCTCTTGAGTTTGCTGATTAGTTAAATCACATATTTTCGTACGGACCTTCAGTGGCACAAAATTCAAATATGGCTAAAATAATATAATGAAAAGGCAAAATTGAACATGCAGACTGTACTTAAGAGTGATTTTAAAGATGATTTTTAACACAAATCTGGAGAACTTCTTACAAATAGAACAACTTAAACCTGTCATAAAACATCTCTTTACTGTGGAAATATTAATTGCACAAACCAGTGACAAGTATAAGCGTATGCTGCTACATGGGGAAAAATGGATTAGATCATCTGATAGTAGTAATGATAGTTTCCATTGGTAGTCAACAGGGCAAAAAAAGGGGAAGAAAGGGGGTGAAACGTAACAAGCCAGTGTTGAGGTCAGATTACTGTGAATGCATGGAACTTCCTGAGCCACTGTGGCTGACATCGTGACATCGTGACATTTTGACATTGTGTTATTTTTTTATTTTTCAGCCAGACGAGCTGTACTTTGAAGAAGGAGACTTCTTGTACATCTCTGACACAGTAAGTAAAACCTTGGAGAGATTTAGCTGCCAATCTCGCACTTCAAGTCCTCATGTCCCATTCGGTGTAAATCTGAATTTCACTTCTTCCTCTTTCTTTGGAATCATAGTTTAGCATTTTTTGCATTTGGTGTCGCCCTTTTGTGGTAATTCCCCCCCCACCCCTCTTCCACCTTTAGTCATAATTTCCTCCCTTGCATTTACACTTTCATTTCACAACTATTTTCCCTGCATTGAATTTGTGTTTGTTTTGTCTGGTTTGTCTCTACTCATTTTACTATTATCCCCAGAGTGACACTAATTGGTGGAAGGGGACATGCAGAGGAAGAACAGGACTAATTCCAAGTAACTATGGTGAGTAGACGATACAGGCGGAATAACTTTGAATTTCAACACATGCATGTGGTGCCCAACATTACTTAATACAGACATTTGTAATTGTGAATAATGCACTAATGATGATGATGTTGGTTTGTTTCAGTGGCTGAGCAGGCAGAGTCTATTGACAATCCAATGCACGAAGCAGCCAAACGAGGTGCGACAAATATATGCATATTGAATTTTTCATTCATTTGTGTTTGTGCCAGGTCTGTACTGTGCAGACAACTGTCTCTTTCTGGAGACAGTAAAGGCAACCTTGACCTTTTTAACATTTGTTTTGGTTCTGCTGAAGAACTAAACTAGTTAAACTAGTTGTGTCTATAAACAGGCAATCTGAGTTGGCTGAGGGAATGTGTGGAGAATAAGGTTGGAATCAACGGGCTGGATAAGGCTGGAAACACTGCCCTCTACTGGGGATGCCACGGCGGGCATAAAGGTAACACAAATTGTGGTGAATAAAACACAAAAATGGCAACTTCTTTTAACAAAGACACTAAATTTTGAGACTGGCATCAGTGCTGTTTGGATTTATCAAAAGTTTGGGTTGACTGATTGCCTCCAGTACCCTGTTGAGGCTGTGGCTGAAATTAATTTCCTAAAGCTTAAAACTATGACATGATATATTAAATGAGAAGTGAAGTACACAAAAACAAGAACTTGTTCTATGAACCTGTTCCAGTGTTTCTCTGTTGTTGTTCCTGCGTGATGTTACATGATGTTACATGTCATTAAATCTTAAATCCCAATCCATCACTCAAAGTTCTCTCTTTCTTTTTTTCTTCTGGATCAGATGTAGTGGAACTGTTGCTTAGCCAGTCCAACGTGGAAGTCAACCAGCAGGTGAGATGAGAATTCACTAATGGGTTGAAAAACACCAACATTTATTTATCCAAAAACTATTTTTATAGTTGTGATCACACACTATTTTTCCACTTAGATCGTCATTGGCAAAATATTTACAACACAACAAAACAACAACAAAAACAAAAACATTGTCGATGGAATTATTTGCTATTATGAGCTACAGTGTATGTATATATATGTATGTGTGTATATATATATATATATATATACACTGTAGCTCAGGATACTAAGATGATTTTTTTCCTACTCTCTCCCCCCCATTTCCTTATAATAGCTTGTAGAATTTTACCAGTCATCCTCCAAGATTTCAACGTGATCACACACAGTTTAATAATCAAGCTTAATGCTCCTCAGGGTGTTTGTCAGTGATGATGATGTTTTGTGTTTCAGAATAAACTCGGGGACACTCCTCTGCACGCTGCTGCCTGGAAGGGTTATTCTGACATTGTGGAGATGTTGCTGAGCAAGAGTGAGTATCTACCCACATCTCTTATTTGGTTTCATAAAAATAAACTGGCAGTGGGTCATCTTTATTTGGATGGATATCACAATAGAGCAATAAAAACACAGAGAGAAATCTCCAGAAAGATTTGATTTAAGATTTAAGAATGTGTGTTCCAGATTGAGGGAACCATAGCCAGTACATAATTTTATATTTGTGTCAGATTCTGTGTCTTTCTGTGTGTATTTTCCTGTTTTTTAGTGTGAGTATATTTGTTTCAGATCCAAGGACAGACATCCGGAACAATGAGAATAAGCTGGCTCTGGATATGGCCACCAATGCCCAGTGTGCTTCACTTCTCAAAAGGAAGCAGGGAAGCAGTAAGTACAGCTGCCACTAGGGGGCACTCACACATACAGTATCCCAAGACAGACCACACACTCATACAGGGAACAGAATAATATGCTTCTTCTTTTTTTACTTAGCTCTCCACTGGGGTTGGCTGTCAGTAGAAGGGGATTGTCCAGCAACAGGCTTAGACAGTCCAGCTTGAGATCAGCACCAGAGCCTGAAACAAAAGTCACTCAATAGAACAGTACAATAGAGCAGTAACTAGTATATAAGTACTGCATGTTATGCTCTCTATTGCTTATTTTCAGAAGCTTCAACCAGTGAAACCTTAACAGAAACCTTTAGCAACAGTACAGGCTGCAGGATCCAGTAAGCTTGAAGGACATGTTTTTATTAGTGTATAATCACCTCAATAAAGGAATTGGTGTGTTTTTGTTACCTTAACAACTTGTTAGAATTAACTGCCATGTTTCTTCAGTAGCCCAGAAGGGACAAACGAAACACTGGCTCTAGATAGAGGTAGCGTTAGCCTTTTTCACTGTTTCGCTGCCGCTATAGTTTCTCCTTCGCGCTTGGAAGGGAGGGGTGAAGCGAGGGAGTTGCGATCTGCAACTAGACTGCTAGATGTCTCTAAATCCTACACACTGGACCTTTATAACTGTACTTAGCCTCTGCACAGAGCTGCAGACAAAAATAATATGTATATGACTAAATATACAGAGCACTATTCAGTAAAGATTATTACATTTTTCCTGTGAATGCCACTTAAGACGAGCCATAATTTATAATCCTGTGTAAAAAGGGTCACGTTAATTATCTGCCAGAGCTTATGGGGCTATTAAAATGAACAACTACTTATAACCACAGCTTGGTTTGCTGTAGACAACAAGGTGCCTATTCATATGACACATTGTCTTATGTATGCCAGGGCGGCTGTGGCTCAGAGGTGGAACAACTTTCTACTAATCGGAAGGTTGTTGGTTTGATCCCCGGCTCCTGTCGAAGTATCTTTGAGCAAGATACTGAACCCCAAATTGCTCCTGATGCTGATCGGTGTGTGAATGTGAATGAGTTAGTTTCTGTCGATGGACTTTGCGATCTCTGTGTGAATGTGTGTGAAAGGGTGAATGTGGCAAAGCGCTTTGAGTGGTCGGAAGACTAGAAAGTCGCTATACAAATACAGGTTCATTTACCAATTATTCCTGTGTGTAAATGGCATGAAGTAGTGTTTTTGGTTGTGCGCCATGTGTTGGCAACACAGGTCCTCATTAGCATGAGGGGGAAGAGATGGGGAGACAATTACACTGAAGGTTCATTTACTTTACTATCTATTATTTTTAGTCCTTGAATTAACTTGCAGTACCTCGCGTGTGGTCATTACATCCAGATTGGTTATTCACATAATGAGTGAGACTCTAATACGGGGGTAGTTATTGCAATCTGTCTAACATTTGACTTGCAAATCAATATAATCATTAACTGTCCATTTGTCTTGTTTCAGACATCACCCGCACACACAGCAACGCTGAAGAGTATTTGGACGACGAGGACTCGGACTGAGCCGGCCCTGATGAAACATTGTCACTGTCTACCATTGGGTTTGGGGGGGGGGGGTTGTAAAGCTCAGAGAAATTTATTACCGACCTAAAATGGATTTGCTGCTTTGTTTCCAACTGTAACTCCATTTTAGTTCTATTACTTTGTGCAAACACCTCAGTTCTCAGCCCTCTGCGTCATGTTTGTGTAAATCTCAAAGCATTGAATTACTGCGTTTTTTACAGTTTGCCTGCTTTGCCAAGGGCATTTCCACATGTAGTGAATTTGTCTTGGAGCACCCGTTGCAGCACACTGTAGACTGAGGGGGCAGAATATATGTAGTGGTGGAAAATGGACCAAAACTCTAAGAAACACATTCCAAACATACAGATTATGTTCAACCCATTTACACTGCGCATTAAAGTGCCAGTGCAGATTAAAAGATTGATCTGGTCTGTGTCTAGTGAAGTTTTAATACTCCATTTAAATTACTGAACTACAAAATCACCCCCAAAAATGAATTGGAAACACATCATCTCTTGCAGCTTGAAACTCTGTCACAACTAGGCACAATTTAGATCTGCTTATGTACCCTTATGTACCCTTTAAATAGGGTGTACTGAGGGGCCCAATGAGACATTTCCCTGTGTTAGCTGCTTGGTCACATTAAGAGTGTCAGTAAATTGACTTAATATAAGAAAAATCACTGTCTTGTATGTAAGTCATCTTCCTTCCCCTCCTTCCTAATGTCATGAACCTCGCCTGTTACTCTCCATACTGCATGTGTTAAAACATTTCCACTGCGGTGAAAGACCTTCTATTAGTCCACTGTAACTAAAAAACATCTTCCCTTTGTAAAACTTTAAATCACTCTTTGATCTATCAATCTTTTGATGGTTTGATATCCATCCTGGGAGCAAATTTCTGGTTTTATTTCTGCTTTCCAACAAATTCTATATAAAAAAAAAAAAAAGTGCCTTAAAAATGTGTAGAATAGCAAGTGTGTCTTTGGTTATGTGTCAATGTGAAAATGTTTTTCTCTTTTGAGGTTTTGAGTTTCTTAAGATGATTTTGTTCTAGATTTCTATCGGCTCTGTTCTCAGTCTGCAATAAAAGATTTTTAACTTAATGTCACACTGAGGAGACATTTTGTTTGAAAGCTGACAATAAAAATCATAAATATGTAAGTGTAAGATTAATAAATACTAAAA